CATTACTTACAATTTTTGGCCATTTTAACTAGCTTTGTGGCTGGGTTCCAAGGAGATTATCCCTTGAAGGATGAAAAAGGGTTTAAATATAATATAGTTTTAGAAAAAAGACAACTGTTACATGGTAAAAGCTGTGTCCCTACAATGATGTAGGAGTTACACAGAACTAGAGTTTGCTGTACATGTTGATAAAGCTATTGGCGGAGCTTTCAATTAATAATTTGAGTGTTAAATATTAATTTAGGTTTCTTTCAATAATTGGTCTAGAACAAGGGGTCATGTCTAGTAGATATTGAAAGTGGAATTTTTAAAATTTTCAAAACTTTTTAAACTTCTGAATTTTATAACCTCTAACATGTGCAGGTCACAAGAGTACAGTTACATGTTGTCGATTTGCTCCAATGCAAAACCGGATTTGTACAACTTCCATGGACAGAACAACAAAGATCACTGACATGCTAACCTTCACTGAGGATTATAATGTCACTCTTACTCTTGGGTAAGAATTCAGATTTTTTGTTCAAAGTCAATTTTGGCCTCTATAGACTGCAAAATAGCTATTTGTCTCACATTTTGGGGCAGCATAACATTACGTGATTAAGGAATATTTCCTTCAGATGCCATCATACTCACATACAAGAAATAAATAAATGGTTAACATGTAATTATTCAGTTCTCGAACTCGTTAATGCTTCATGACGATGTTTGGATATCTGGTCTCAGTGAGCATAGAGTTTTACGATTTTATTGCCCCGTTTTCTCCTTAGTTTTAGTTTTGATTGAGGCAGTATATCAATCACTTAAGACAGTGTTTGACCACATTACCAAACACCTTGAAGTTCATAAAAAATGCTCCGCTTTGTGGCATATTTTCAACTCTCTTCTCAGTGTTTGGAATTGTGGTCAAACACGGTCTTTCTTTTTTCATATAAGTTACTTTTCACATCAAGGTTTACAAGGCATTCTTTGATGTTAAATTATTTACTTTCAATTTTCACTGGAATTTTTTTCTTGTTTCTATTTAGGGGTCATATAAATGTCATCTCCAGCTGTTGTTTCAGTAGCGATGAACACTTATTGGCCACAGGATCATGGGACAAAAATATTCAAATATGGGACATTGCCACTGGTGTCTATAGGTACTGAACAGGGCTGTCATAAAGTTTTGAATGATTCATCAGAAGCCTTGATCTTCACACCCGTAACAAGCTTGTTACTTTATGGGTCAATTGTATCAACTACAGGCAAATTCTCCCCTAACATCAAGGGTCCATCAAGCATGCTCAGCCGTAACAGTTACTACGGGTTACAGCCCTGCTGAATTGTGATTTGTTTTGCCATACAAGAAGACAACTTATATTTCAATAGAGAAATCTGTGAACAAGTTAGACACAGACACTGATGGGTTATCTCTTTGTAAACCCTTCTCATTAAGTGTTTTGGGTTCTTTGGCATCCTTTGGCATTGCTTTCAATTAAAAATGTTATGAAAAAAGGAGGGAGGCAGCGTGGCCAAGTGGTCAGTGCATTGGATTCGCAATCCAGTGGTCCCAGGATCGAGTCCCGTTCTGACCACTACCTGGATTTTGTTTCTTGGTAGCCCTGAGTTCAAATCCTTGGCCACAATCGTAAATAGCCAACTGGTTTGCCTCTGGCCAGTTGGGATTCCTAACAATGTTATGTTCAATTTGAACTATTTGTTTCAGTTGTTTGCCCGGCCCCACTAGCACTTGTGCTATAAACATTGCCAAGGGTAAATAACGGTTATACAAAAATGGTGAAATAAATATAGTGTGGGACACAGGAACCCCGGCAGGAACCCTTATAGATGTAAAGAATTACTTTTACTATTAATATCATAATTTGTTTCCAGAAACCATGGGCCACTTACCTTTTCCAAAGGACATGAAGGTTCCATCAGTGCTTGCAACTTCAGTGAGGATGGTGAGAAAATGATGACCTCAACGTAATTCTGTATATTTCTCAATTAATTGTAATAATAACTAATAGTTTGATGATGCTTCTGGGTCTGATAGACTGTACAATCACATTTAGAGATACACTTTCACAGAAGCGCTTTTTAATGGAAATCTAAAGAAAAATGACATTAGCAAACTCTGTTAATGAACATTTTAATGTTAACTACATATACACGTATTAATTGATCAATTTATTAGTAATTATACCACTTTTCTGATGTCTTTATATTATAGTTGCGACAGACTTTCCAATGTATATACGCGGCTGCTTTATCTTGTCGGTGGGTATATTCTGTTTTCGCAAGTTCAGGACACCCAGACACGATATGGTCGATTGTTTCGTCGTATTTGTTACACATCCTGCATAGGGGGCTTAAGTACCATCTTTGATAATGCTGACGTGGTATGATCTGGTAGCTAGACTTTGGTCTTGGGCTGCGATTATGAATCCTTCCGTTTCTGCCTTCAGTCCACTGCTTTTGAGCCACTGGTTGGTTTTGT